CCTAGCAGCGGATATCATTATTCACACTGTAAAATTAATCGACGAAGTTGCTTGTCTAAGATTTTAGGTGGCCCGTTGAGCCCAAAAGGATTTCGTGGTCATGTAATTTCGCTTTTTATATGTATAGGAGATAAATTTAACCTATGGGCTCTTCACGAGCGAAAATTTGGGATGTGATTTTTTTCTTAATGTATGTGATCTGACATATTTCATTTGAAACAGCCGTTAGAACTACTTGGTCATTGGGCTTGAGATGAATCTTTTGTATCTGTATTTGTAGTTTCGTATAAATATATATATATATTTTCTGCTTTTAATTTGTTCAATCTGCTAAATTTGCTTTACTTGGATTTCTGCAGTCCTCACTTGCAGCTGCTAGGGCAGACAACTTTTATTATCCACCAGAATGGACGCCAAAGAAGGTATACTTGCGTTCCACTCTTGTTAGAATATATCATGATTGGTTGGTATATGGAGTTCTAATGTTGCTTTTTGGTTCAGGGTTCTTTGAACAAGTTCCATGGTCAACATGCTTTGAGGGAGAGAGCAAGGAAATTGGACCAGGGGATTTTGATTATAAGGTAACTAATCAAACTCATATGCGTTAGGTGTTTGATAGATATGTCAAATGTATCTCAAGAAGCATGTTTTGTTAATGGAAAGTTTTAATGCAATCGAGTGACTTCCTTGCTCCAACAAATGCTGTTTGCTAACTTATGTACTTCCAGTTTGAAGTTGAGGAGTACAGAAGAATTCTGATATGTTGATTATCTTGCATTCAGGTTTGAGATGCCTTACCATATATGGTGTGGTGGGTGCAATTCTATGATTGCAAAGGGTGTTCGTTTTAATGCAGAAAAAAAGCAAGTCGGAAATTACTATTCTACAAAGGTATATTTTTCAAATACTACTGATTCTTCTGACTTTTCCACTCGGAATTAAATTGGTTATTTATTAGTTTTGCTACCCTTGATAAAAAAAAAAAAAAATCCATGTTTTCATTTTTTAACATGTATGGTTGTTTATTTATTTATTTCTTAACTGGTTTAAGTTAATACATTTATTAACAATCAAGGTCTTCTTTCCTCCAGATATGGAGCTTTACCATGAAGTCAGCCTGCTGCAAACATGAGATTGTTATTCAGACAGATCCGCAGAATTGCCAGTATGTGATTATTAGTGGGGCCACTCAAAAGATTGAGGAATATGACATTGTGGATGCAGAAACTGTTGCACTTCCTGGAGATGAAGGTTGGTTTTGAAGTAGATGCAAATAGAATCTTTTTCCTCTTATAACTTTTATAATGCCTTACTGAAATAGATTGTTCTCTAATTAAATTAACTTAAACTCAATCAAATAAGGAAGAAAGAACAAGATAATGAACAGAGTCCTTTGACTGCATGTACAAGGAAAACACTCGATTGTTCTTCATAATATGTTGGAAACACTATGATGTTTTTTTCCTTCCCTCTCCTAACAAAAGTCAATTATTTGTTCTCCAGAAAGAGGAAAGCTCGCAGATCCATTTTATCGTCTTGAACACCAAGAAGAGGATTTGCAAAAGAAGAAAGAAGCTGAGCCAGTATTAGTGCGCCTACAGCGAGTTTCTGATGAAAGGCATTTAGATGACTATGCCGTCAACAAGGCCCTCAGAGCAAAACTTAGAGTATGTCACTGATTTTATTTAGCTCTCCCTTAATGTTTTTCTTCTCACACAGTAGTTTATTTCTATTGAAAAAGAAAAAAGTAAAGTAAAATTGTTAGTTTTCTTTTCTTCTTTCTGGTTTGTATAACAGAGAGATGATAAATGAATACATGGAGTGATAATTAGTTTTTTTTTTTACCCTGCTGTACCCATATTTGTTTTAAAGTATTTACATAAGATGAAATTTGACTACTGGGGATCAAAATATAAGATTTTTCCAAGAAAAGAACTCACCTCAGTAATTTTTTCTGTTCTTTCATCTCTTTCTGTCTCTTATTAGAGAATGAACCAAACTTGAGTGTTCAATTTGGCATTACATAAAGGGTTTCCTCACTATTTATTATCGTTTTATTTCAGTCTCAAAAGAAAAGAGTTGCTGAAGAAGAGGCTGCTTCAAGGAAGATGGGTCTTGGTATACGACTGCTTCCAGTGGCAGAGGAGGATGTTACTGCGGCATCACGTGTGAAGTTCGCTTCCAGGTTTGACAAAAGCAGGAAGGATAAGCGAGCTGTGATCAATGCTGCTTCAATTTTTCCTGGGTCATCTGGGACTTCTACGTCTAGTAAGAAGAGTTTGGAACTACAATCTAAGAGAAGGAAAATAAGTGCTGCTGCTGCATCTAACTTACTTACAGGGGGATTCAAGCCATCATCATGGTCTCAGAATGCAGTTTCTTCAGGCAGGCACAATGGAACGTTAGTGACAGTGAGACGCTCCTAGTTATGTAACACCCAATGTGGAATGATATGGCTGTTTCTCAAGACACTAGGGAACTTCAGGTTCACATGAAGCTCATGAAATCACACTTTCTCTTGTAGTTGGCTTATAGATCCGCCAGTTGTAATTTGTTTTTCTTTTTCATGTTACATATCGCCTTCTTTAGTTTTCCTCTCCTACCCTGTGCAGGAGATCTGGTGTGTATTTGGAGTTGTATAAAATCATGTTTGAAGTAATGAAATGAAACGGCTGCTATAAGATGCCAGTATCTTTTTATCCCATGCAGCTTCAATTTGTTAATGATGTCAACCCTTGTCCTCCGGGTTTTCGTTCCTACCCTGTGCAGGAGATCTGGTGTGTATTTGGAGTTGTGTAAAATCATGTTTGAAGTAATGAAATGAACCAGCTGCTGTAAGATGCCAGTAGCTTTTTATACCATGCAGCTTCAATTTGTTAGGCCTCGTTTTGGTTCCTGGGAAAGGAGACTTGAGGATGAGAAATCTATTACTTTCTCATGTTTGGTAAGTCCAGGTATGAGAAATCGTTGCATGGCTCATGGGAAAGTAAGGAGGAAAATGAATGCATTCTTTTTTTATTTGATTTAATATGGGTATAATGGAAAATTTATACAAACTATGTTTTCCATTCTTACTCAAAACAAACATGGGAAAGGAAATAAAGTGATTATCTCCTTGTTATTTTTCCAGCATTACCAAATTCATTTCCCATCCCTTCCCATCCCTTGGGAAATGATATGGGAAATGATTTCCTTGTTATTTTTCCAGCATTACCAAATTCATTTCCCATCCCTTCCCATCCCTTGGGAAATGACATGGGAAATGATTTACCCTCAAATTCGTTTAATGAACCAAACGGGGTTTAGTAAGAAACACATCATAGTCTAGTCCATTTAAGAATCAACTGGGTTTTGTTACGTTGAACAATTACAAAACCATTAAATCATCATCAAGGTTGATGAAGGTTGACAGATGAATGAATGAAATGTGGAAACTGACAGATTTATCTCCTACAGTCTACAAGTAAAAGTACTTTTAATCAAATCAAGCATATAGAAAAGATTATCCTCTTTATGCTGAATGTGGGCGTAATGCCTCTTAGTGGGCTATATGCCTTTATGTGGGCTAAATGCCTTTTTTTTGGCTTTTGACATTTTAGTTTTTGGCTTGGAAACATGATCTTCATGTTATACTGTACTGGTTTTAGTTAGATTTGTTCATGTTTGTTTTCTGTTAGTTTCCTGGCCGATGCTTTTGCTCGGCTTTGTTTGTACTGTTCTCTACCCCTTTAGGGGTTTTCAATGAATTGCAATTTCGACCAAAAAAAAAAAAAAAAAAAGATTATCCAAACACTGTTTGAGCACTGGCCAGGGATTGAGTACCATCTTTTAGGTTCCTAATCAGGCTTTCTTTTTTCATAATATTATTTAATCTTGATTACTTCTAAAAATTCGTTCCATTAAACCAGTTTATCTTTCCCTGGAAAAAAAAAATTTATTTAAAAAACCATAGTTTTTTTAGGACCTTTTTGGGCAACAACATACTAAACTTACACACAGTGCACAGATGTTGGGACTCGAATTCAATACCTTTTTTGAAAGCAATTGCTCCAAATCTAGTGAGTCCGTACCAAAATCAGCTTATATTTTGATGAGTTGTTCGAAACTAATCGTTTCTGTCAAAGCTTAACCCAAAAGCTCCACTAAATAAAGTGATCTGTTTTTTGGTTAATTGTTTAGTGTCAGAGTCTGCAAAAGTGCGCAGCAATGTTCATAATCATAGCTAGACCTGTTTACTTTGTGCATGCATGAGACACAAAGTCCTCCAACGGAGCCAGGCCTGCTATCGTAGTTGTATATACAAGAAGATGGCTCCATTTGAAAATTGATCATCATCGAGCTCTTCAATTATAAATTAAATACATTGTGATTGATTTGTGAGGATATACTTAAAATCAGTTGTAGTTCAGAAATCGTTGTAAAAAGGCAAATGACTTTATTCGTGAGCTTCGCTTACATGAAGAAATTTGTACTGACTATAACATCCTCTCAGTCTCAAGCCTCAAGAAAAAGCAATTATGTTCTGTAAGTACAGCGACTGAACACAGAAACAACAATCATGATATGGTTGGTGGGTGCAGTACAACTGTTACAGAAATATAGGCTTAAATTCTGGCCGGCCTCTCACTGTTCACACCAACTCAACCTCAGTCCTCCCTCAGAGATACATATGTATATATTTTTATACAAACAAGTATGCAGCAGAGAGAAAGACAAATACCAAATACCATATATAATTAATTGTATATAACTGTCACTGTTTGTAGTGGGTACGCCAAAGATCTTGTGCCCATGTTTCTTAGGGTAAATTAGATATTGTGCCCTGTTGGGTTCCCTAGAGCTAGAGATAGAGCTAGACTCTCCTCGTTTAATTAATTTCTCTTTTTTTGCAGGATGTTCTGTTTTTTGGGTGGACTCCTTTGTCGTTTTAATTAATAACAAACAGTGTGAGAGAAAGTCAGGAAGTAGTAAGATCGTTCATTCATCATCATCATCAGCCAGCAAAGTGTGTGGCTCCTACTTTGGTCCGTACAGCCTAGATGGGCCTAAGCTTCACCAAACACTACCATAAGATCACGCAAGTGAAGGGTAGCAAGCAAATCCAATCCAATATAACAAACACACCTTCTACTGAAAAAGAGAGATATGGCCGAAACACCAAAACGTACGTACACAAAAAGAGAGACAGGAGTTGCAGCCCTCTCTGTAACCAAGCACAAAGCCATCTTTTCGGGTTGCCCTTTCTCTCTCTCTCTGCTTTCTGCTCTCTCTCCCATACACACACAAACACAAACACAAAGCCAAAGAGATATATTTGTCTTTCTTTGGTGGGTTTAAGACTTTTTAAGTGTACAACTCACAGAAGTTGTGCAGCTAGATAATATGTACAACTTATGAACAGTCCCTTTCACCGGGGCCTATTTTTGTTTTGTTCATGTGGGGTTATGCTTATGGCTTTTGCTTTTCGTTGGGAGAGGAGGAACTGCCTGGTCTGGTTTGGAGGCAAAGAGATCACTGCAAGTGTTGTAGGTGAGTTCTAGAACCTAATCATCCTGTTTTTTGATGATTATGTTAATGCTTCAGCTCCTTCTCTTACACTAATTCAAACTCTTTTGTCTTTATCTCAACTCTTTTACTTAATTTCACTGCATTATCTCTGTCTATCACTTCTATTTTTCTTTTTCTTCTTTTCCAAAGTGCTTGTGTTATATATATATTGCTCTGTAGCAATCAATGATTCTTGAATGAGGTATATTCTCTGAAGAGGTCCTTGATAATATTAGCCAAGAGCCCGACCAAGATTAACATAACAGCAGTAATTATATATGATGTTTATATAATCTCATATGATTACAACAAAGGCCATGCTAATTATATATATGATGATACCATTTGTTTCAGCATACCGATAGTTTAATGGATCCTTCCCACTTAATAATGGTATTGGAAGTTTGAGTTAAATAAAATAAAATATCTCTAAACCCTAATATATTCATAATTAAGATTATTTGGGGTTGTTCTCTATTGAAATCATGGGACAATACCGATAGTATCAACACATATCATATCAAGGTGATAATATCCGAGAATTTGCTACTACGTTTTAGATATATTTGAGAGCATCTCCATTTCAAAATTCCATGCACTATGTTCTATTTTTTGTGTTTTTCTGGATGGGTGTTGGTTCGCCGTATTTCTTTCTTCAGCAGTAAAAATGCAGTGGTTGCGGCTACAGTAACAGTTGCCTCCATTACTCTCCGTCTCTCTCTCCCTTGCGTGTCCTCCTCTCCTCCATTTGTCATTGATTACTGTTGTTTTTGGATCTGAAATTAATGCAATTACTCCCAATATGAAAAAGTAGTCATTGCGGCTGCTGGGTTTTAATTGAATTGAATTCAATGAAAAGGTAGTCGAAACCAGTGCCAAGGAAACATGGTAATGTAATGTTTATGTAGTCCACAGCATAACTAAAATTTCTTTATTGGTCTGTATTAGTTAATTGTCGTTTCTTTTTCGGGTTTTAAGTACCCCTATCACATAAATAATAATTCTTTAATGGGTGCTGTTTTGTACTTTATCCTTATTTTTTATAATTCGTTTTCTTTTTCAGAAAAGTTTTTGGTCCAAGTGGTTTGCCTTTCTAACTTGGGCTAAACTGGAGCAAGGGGCCTGGTAACACTCTCCCTCTTATATTGCAGACACAGGTTTATTTCTCATAAACTGCACACACACACACACATATATATATTGGTAGTTAAATAATTGTATATGAATGACGTTTTGCATGTGTAACTTCTGTGCTGTTTTGATATCAACGCTGATCCCATCAACATATAGCCAAAAAATTAGGAAAACAAACATTTTATAATCAATCTCCCCAACATCTTGCTGCAACTTTTGAGGATAGAGTTCTGAGAATGATCACGATCCTGCAATGATGTTCTGTTTATTTGTACAATGTTATATGTGCCTACTTGTTTTATCTTTGTGTTTACCTCAGCAACAAGGACCTTTATGCTTAAAAAATATGATTATATAACAAGAAGACAACAGAAACCACAAAGAAAAATAACAAAAAATGGCCACAGAATCTCAAAACACTTTCCACCTTTTGCAGCTTGCAAGTTAATTCACCAAGTATACATATCATCAGGATTATGATGATGCTATGTAACCACAGAATCCAGGTTCCAGGACTAGTTTAGGTTAAGATTGTAACATGTGCATATGAGATCGATTAAAAGGTTTTGCAGGATACATATAGGCGATATTAGATCGATTAAAAGATTTTGCTTTTTGACAGTTGAAATTAGATCGTCTCAAGAGAATTGAGCTTAAATGGTTTCTCTATCAACTATTTTTGCGCGTATATATATTACTGGCTAGAATATATAGGAAACAACAATTATCTCAGGCTGAATGCAAAAACACACAACAATACATGCGCATATGATGATTTTGTGCAAATTAATATGAATAACAATATTCCATCGTTTTAAACATTGTTAAACCAGAAACATTAGCTAGAGAATATAGCCGAAATGCTGCATCTGTTCTGTAATAGAGAGCCGAAATGTGCCCATCAAGGACTACGTATGTGATTCATAATAACAAGAACATCTATGCAGACTTCTTGACTGATTGATGGTGAGGTACAGTTTCTTTCACCTCATTCTGTAATTAATACCAACTAATTAACAAATTTTATATTGTAGGAGAGGAATGCATACGACAGCAGTTTGAACTGCGCAAGAATAGGTAAGATCCACAAAATAAGTAAAGTTATATTGTGGAAGCTTGAAACACACAAACAATGAAAACATATCTGTAGCCGTTCAATGTAACCTAGGCTACTTAATCAAGACGATCAAGGAAGTTTTTAGCATAAACAGAAGAGTACCTATAGCAGATATGTATTATTTTAGTTGTTTTCCTTACTATATATATTCCTTTATTTAAAAGAAAAAAAAACAATATAAAGATCTAAACCACCATCTTGAAATTTGCAGCGTGCATAGACCAAAAGTTATAGTAAAATAGGGGAGCAGACCAAAGGGAAATGGGAATTTTGTATTTTTTCTTCAAAGTAATTGTATCCCCTTTGAAAAAACTGGAACAGATGAATGATATATATATATATAGCACACAACTTCTTGTAGAGATTCCATTCAAACTATCTAGCTAATTAGTATTTTATATTACTGATGTAATTGCAATCTTGTTGAGAAAAATGGAACCTACTAGAATATATGAATGGGGCGTTCAGCCTACCTGGAATACTGACAGAACGTTCGTATTGCCGTGTAAGATTGATCACGGTATAGTGTCCAATATCCAAGCAGAGAGATCATTCCTCAACCTGTAATACGCAATTCTTATATTCTGAGAAGCTTTTGGTTTTGGATATGACTGTATCCATGGTTTGGTTTTATTGCATATATAGGAGATCAAAAAGACCTGAAAGGAATAGAATGATATGCTGCTTGTTATTTGCAGCAGAACTCTTGCTAGCTACTCAAACCTGCAAAACATCAATATTTGAAGGTGGCATATATGTAGATTGGACTTAATTAGCTGGTAAATACAAATATAAACATGAAGTTAAGACATTGTTTTTAATAACTGGAATTCTTGAGAATAAACATTATATGGAGAATTTATGCAATTAGCAATTGATGACATGAAAGCACCTGACACTGCACAATTTTTATAAATCGACATCCTCAAATTAAATTTGCTAGTAAATTGGAATAAAAGTTCAACAAACACTCCTGAAAACATATTACTCACTCATGCGCCCGCTATATATCAAAGAAAATTATCCACACTTTCATACAAACACCGTATTGTAAGGAATTGGAGGAGGTGCAAGAAACTAAGATTGGTCTTTCCATTCATTAATTTCCAAGGAACTGGGACTGCAAAACAATACTTGAATTGGTCCCAAAATTTGAAGAAGTAGTGGGATTTTGATCTTCAGCAATCAAGGTTGTGACGAAGATTGAACTAGGCTTTTGTTCTTGCATGCTTGATGAGGTGGACATGAAAACTGAACTAGGCTTTTGTTCTAGGGGGTATGGGGTAGGAGGAGCAGTGGCCATAGTTGATGAGTTACTAGGGTTTGGATCTACTTGCAGCACGTTATTACCTGTAATGTTCTTGGAATTGAATTGGCCCCAATTCCCAGGAAAACTTGGAAAATCATAATCCTCGGAATTTGCTCCACTGGGAATTGTTGTGCTGCCCACAACCTTCTCATCATGATGATTGATGCTCATCACCATGGAATTCATCATCATTCCAGGTTCAAACAATTGATCATTAGGACAATTAGAAGACCATAAGTAGTGACCGCCTGAGAATTGATCGTTATTAGGGTTTTGTGGTACTTGATCATGATCAGGGCTTTGTTTTCTTAAATTCTGATATTGATCCAAACCTGATCTGGTCCTCATCATCTTCTTCTCCCTTGTTCTCTCCCTTGCCCTTGCTCTTGCCTCGACCCTCGATTCCCTCGCAACCACACATAACTTCCTGTTCTTTTTCTCTCTTTCCAATGTCCCAATCGAGTGTACGTCGCCAATTGCAGTCTCCTGAATCTTGGATGCAACTTCGCTATTCTCAGAAGTGGACGAATTCATCTTTGCAGTGATTGTGCTGGTAGAAGTAGCGTTGGCATTGGTGCTACAGCTGTAAGCTGCCAGGGGTGAGATGTTGAGGTGCTGCTTGAGTTCCTTGATGGAAGTCTTGGACTTTGTGAAAAGCCACTCGATGGTTTTGCTGGCTTTATCAAACCCCAGCATGTCTTGAAGATCAAAGAACTTGCGGGCAATTTGAAGAGACAGCCTCATTCTGCGGTCTCTTGGGCCTTGAGCTGTGTAGATCTTGCTGTGCCTGTCCTTATTCCCGCTTGATCTCTTTCGAGGAGCCTTCGCGTTCTTGCTTTCTCCATTTGATGTATTGCTCTTCTTCTTTGAAGAGCACCCTTTCGAAGTTGCAGCTGGGGAGGTCCGATCCTCGTCAACACGATCCATTACTTTTTTGTTTGAATTGGAAGCCACAACGCTGATTTCAGTAGTATCATGAGCTTGAACATGATGAGAAGTAGCACTGTTCATATTGGGACTGGAGCTGCCAACCAAGAGCTGCTGCTGAGATAGCAAGTAGCTCAAAAGCAGCCCGTCGTGTTCAAGAAAATTATTAGGTGCCTGCTGCTGATGATCTTCAGAGTAGTGTGAATAGTACTGACGAATATGATGGTCATCATGTGATATTGAGTTAGGGTTTTCATGACCATGTTGATCAATGATATTTGTAGAGGACTTTTCGTGCAGCTGCGGCTGCTGGTTGGTATCACATGGAAAAGGCAGCTGGTAATTACTAGCGCTGCTGCTAGAAGGAAACATGGTCATATAATAATGGATCTTAATTAATTAGCTCTCTCTCTCTTCTCTCTCTCAACCCTTAGATTTTGGATGATGGAAAGTCTCTTCAACGGGTACTGTTTTGAACCGCCGGAACGCAACACCAACAGTAAACAGAAATTAAGAGAGGCCGGGGGTGACTGTTCTGCTACAATATATGTAGATATGGATATGTAATTAAGCTAGAAAGAGAACTTTAAAGAGAAAGGGGAGGCAACTACTGCCAAGCCATAAAGAAAAAAACATAAAGTGCACAACCTGATGAGGGTGATGGCGGTCTTGACTCCTTGTTGGTGGTGGTGTGTAGAGCTAAAAGAAGATCAGGAAACTGGTATTTGGTTCACTATTCATATTCATGACCTTAAATAATCTTCTAAGAGAAAAGGCAAGTGCAATCAACAGTGGTGACGAGAAAGAGAGATAGAAAGGAAGAAAGCGAGTGGATATAAGAAATATGGAAAGAGGGACGAGCTCAGGGTTGCAGAGAAGAAGGGTACTTAAGGGAGCTAGCTAGGTAAAGCTAAAGCTAAAGCTATGGCTAAGCTGATGAGCTATATAAGAGGTAGCTGTGCAACTGATGATATCTCTCTCTTTGAGTCTTAATTTGAACATATCACGTGGGTGGGTGCAGAGGTGGGAGCTCGAAAGCGACCTAACCTAGCCATTCTTTTTCAGTATGTGTGGACTGTGTGTGTGTATGAGAAACAAAAGAAATAAAGAGAGAGAGAGAGAGAGAGAGAGAGAGAGAGAGAGGGTTCTGAAAAACTTATTCACAGCTCTATGAGAATTTTGAGAGGGCTAAAACTGACCACCTTCATGAATATAGGTACCCTAGAAAGAGAGAGAGAGGGAAAAAAGAGAGAAGGGAAGGGGGAAGGACAATTATGTGATAAATGTAACAGTCTAACACAGAGAGAGGCTACATTTGTACAATATTTAGAGCCAGCTGCTTTTAATTACCACCATAGAAGGCAACGCTTTGCTTTGACTGGTTTACCAAATGTCCCTTTCGTTCTCTGACTCGCTTCAACAATGTCTATCTTTTTTCACTATTTTATAAATTTATCAAGAAAAAAAAGAACTACTGATAATCTGTAAAATCATCATAAGGTTAATCAAAAAGTATTTGAAAACTCTCTAGTTATTATATCTCTATCTTGTTAATTTCATTCCATTCCATCTAACAGTTCTCTGATAATGTCAAAATTTTGAGGACAACTAAGCATTTCCGTTGATTTTGTACATATATATATATATATATATAATAGAAGGTTTGATACCAACTAGTGCTTAGTGTTCGTTTGGTATTACTTATTTGGGGTCAAAATCATTTTCGCTAGCCACAACCATTTGGAGAATCAGCTGAGAGGCTGCTTTTTGCAACGGGTGGTGTTTAATGAAATTTTGCCAACAATATCCTTATCAATTTAAACAAATTACATCAATTATCCTTCGTATTCTTTCTCACATACGTGCACGAGTTACCTCTCCCCGCAAGCTCTTTGTCAGAATTTCAAGGAGAAAACAATCCAATTAGATTACTTATTAAAATTTCTCAAACCCTCGAATAATAATTTGGTAAAGAGATTCTATTTAAACTCCTACATTTTCCATTTGCAAAACAGATTGCCCACAAAAACAGACTGCCCACAACAGATTGAAATATGATTCGGATGATGAGAAAAGCAATGGGTGTTTTGTTTTTTCTTTGTCAAAGAAGAAAGATTCTTAAAAGTGACCATAGGTGGGACTCAACTGTTTTTGGCAAACTCAGAAAAAGCTCTGTATATCAGAGGAACCTGGAAGAAGAATGATATGTCATCTGGAAGAATAACAAAGCTGAGGATTGTTCAGCCCAATCTCGATTCAAAGAATTTGAGGCATTTTCTGTTCTTTTTATTTATTTATTTATTTATTAAGGGAGGGAAGAAAGAAGATCAGAGACGTTGCCAATGAATACATTTGAGAAACAAAAGCTTAAAGACATTTGAGGCTGGACAATAGATAATAGAAGCTTCAAGAATATTTGAGGTGGCAAACATGCAGTACACAGGTTCACAACCTGTTATTTGTTTACCTTTATTATTTTATAGTTGAAATATTTTTGGGGTGTGTAATTTTTTGGTACAAGCTTGCATAATTGAAAGTGAAAATCTTTTCTTTACCAAATAGTTAAATAAAAAGTTTTTTTCACTATCATGTTTATTTTAGTCATTACACATAACTACAACGCTTTTTACATCATAGTTTACTAAACACTCATAAAACTGATTTTTATACCTGCATCACTTTTAGCATATAGTTTACCAAACACCCAACTACTTTCATTCACAGCTGATTTCTATGACAGCAAATTTGAAAGTGATTATTTTAACAATACAGCAATGTCAAACTAGCCATTAATCTTGTGGTAACTTCTTTATCAATGAGATTTTAAGGGCCCGTTTGATAACAATTTTAATTTTACTTTTTAGTTTTAATTTTTTATGCTAGAGTATAGAAGAAAATGAGAGTGAGAATGGGAGTGAGGATGAGATTGAGAGAGAGGATGAGTTACAAAAGTGAAAACAATTTCAAATAGATTTCAGTTTTTAGTTTTCACTTTTATTACTCCTTCCTCCCATCATCCCCTCTTAATCTCATCTTCACTCTCATTCTCTCTCTTTTTCTTCTATATTTTAGCACCAAAAAAAATAAAACTAAAAAAATATAAACTAAAATTTAAATGGTTCTCAAACGGGCCCGTGAATATAAAAACATACACACCCTTATTTAGAAATTTCATTTTTTGAATTGTCGGGTTTTATTTTTAAGTAGCTCATCATGTCATTTCCAGATAGTTTTAATTATAAAAAATGGAGACTGAGGGTTATTAACTAATTTTCTATATTATTATCAAGTGGTTTGATTTGTAACAAGAAACATTTGGTTTTACTAATTTTCAATGAGGGTGTGAAGCTGCTTCCCAAAAGCTGAACACAGATAATGATGCACAGCCACAGCCTAAAGAGAAAATTGACTGCTTGCTATTTACAAATTACATGTATGCATGCATGCGTTATAAGTCCCCATCCTCCAATTTGGGGTCGTTTGTTACACAAGATTGGCTTGAACTGGCTTGGACTAAATTTAGTCCCATGTTTGTTTCATCTAATCCTAGTTTTAAATAGAATTGCTAATATCGGGCCCACCAAAAACACCTTCGTAGGAGGGGACTAATAAACCCATGTGGAAGGGAAGAATTAACTAGTCATGTGCTCACTAATGTATAACATCCATACATTATATTGTCATAATAATAACCAAGGTCTAAAATATCGATGATATCGGAAATATCGGTAGTCTAAAAACACGGAAATGTCGATGGAAATATCGGGATATTATCAATATCGATAAAAATTGAATAAAAACCACGGAAATTGTAAGAAAAACTTGGAATTTTTTATTGAAACTGTGCATGATGTTTATTTAGTCAATTATCTATTAGTTTATCACAAAAAATTGGAAGGAAATGCATTGCATGATGGATTTAACTTATTTAAGTTGATTATATAGCGAGCTGGCAAACACTGTGAGTGTAGAAAATATGTAGTAATTAATGAAATATATATGACTACAACTAATTAGTTAGGTGAGTGGTTGAATGGTGGGGTAAGTGATGTAAGTTGAAACGTGGTGAGTAGTTTAAAAGTAGAAACTTGAAAAGGAATGGTCAAAAGAATTCAAAACAATTTGTTTCTTGCAAAAAGAATTCAAAACAAAACCATGTATATATATATATATTTTAGCATATTTTCACAAAAACATAAGTGATATGGTGGTTAAGGTGTTGAAGGAGTAAAATGGGAGGGGTTCGAATCCCCTTGGTGTTTTTTTTAATATAGAAATTTATCCTAGATAATAAATATTAGCTTGCAGACATTTCAGAGACATTATAAATATTACACGCCGAAAATACAATCACAAACACATCCGTAGCTGAGTTGGATAAGGCGCATGGCTGGTTCACAAAGGGAGGGATTCGAATCCCTCTATGCGCAATAGGGAGATATTTAATTCATTGTCATTGACTAAGTAATTAATTGACACAATTTAAAATATAATACCACCAACAATTTGGAATAGATAATAATAAACATGCAAATTAAATCTATATATATAAAGCAAAAGGCAGAGAATGGTGAAACATTCAAAATACCAAAAAATGCCATTGGTTAATGCAAACATTAAGAATTGAAATTATTAATTAAGTGAGGATAATATGGTAAATTTACACTTTTTCATATTAAAAAAAGGCTTAATTATGTACATGCCCCCTGTGCTTTCCAACTTGTCTCAGATTACCACCTGTGTTTGCAAACGTCTCAAAATACCCCCCAACCTTTGAAAAACAGTCTCAAGTTACTCATTCCGTCAGTATTATAAACGTTCCGTTACGTGCTTTGGGCCCCACTTCGTTTTAATCTTTAACCTCTGCGAATAAGGGTTTTTCTGTTCTAAGAAATGGGGAAATTTGGTATTTGGGTGAGAAGGGGAGATTTGGAGAAAAAGGCTAGGGCTTTTGCAAAATCTGAGGTGGGGTTCGAACTTTGGAGCCTCCTAATTTGGAATTTCCTTCATTCTACTCATTGAAGGCTGTAAGAAGGACAAAGGTTGATCCTTGTGTTGTTGATGCTGCTGACAAAGATTTGGTAGTTGTTGGTGAACCAAACTTGAGATTAATGTCTGCAACTGGTGCCACTTCTTTGCCTCAAACATCTGTTCCACCTGGGATTAGTTCTGAGGTTAACTTCGAGGTTTTGGGCATTTCCAATCCCCCTTCTTGGAGTGTTATGATAGCAGATGATGCAGGTGGAACCCAACTTGTCCAAGTTCCAAAGGCTCCTGTCGTGGAAGTGAAATTGGCACTTAGGTGACGAGGGGTAAATTAAATGACACAAACACAACCACAACGGGCTTCACACACTTTAGACCTTGACCAATACTAGTCATGAACAATCACAATCAAAAGAACACACGGAGCATGCCACAAAGTACCTGCAACCCTAGAAGATTACTAGTGACAACCTAGGCACTCAGAAGGACCCGTCAATCTAGGCATCCCCTGTGCTAGCAACAACTATGGTTAAAGTGTGTGAAATCATCATTATCAAGTAAACAGCAAACAACAGATAAAGATGACTAGTCAACCACCAAGAACACAAACCCAGAAAAATTTACAGATATGCAAAACAGATTTTGTTCAC